CAAAAAAAAAAAAAAAAAAAAAAAAAAGGGCGGGCCATCCTGGAGGGGGTGGGGGTAGGGAATCCCTGCTGAGTGCTAAACATCACTTGCATTGTCATGGAATGGGAGAAATGATTTCCCAACACTTGGAGAGAAGGCTGAGTATGGAAGGATGCCTGGATGAACTGCTCAGGATAGATGAGAGACCCCCAAGGGGCAACCCAAAACAGGTCTGGGATATTGCTGTGTTTGGGCCCTGCAGAGTAAGTCTTGCAAGTCTGAGGCCAGAGCTGAACTGCTCTAGCCAGTGGACTAGATGTTATGTGCAATGACCAGGATTCTGTGCCCTCTGTCCTTCCCTCACTTAGCACACTGTCTCTACTTCAAATCAATAATGGCTGTTTGTTTTAGGGATTACTAAGGTATTGGCCTGCCTGGGATATCTGCCCGTGGAACAATGGGTCTGGCATTTGCCCAATGACTTGAGGCAAGACCTGGAGCTTCCTTGCTTTCTCATACCTGGTTCTCCGCTCCTGTTGCCCAGGTGGAATCCTGACAGTGGTCTTGGGATAAAGGGCTAAACTCTGGCTTTACCTTACTTAGTGATTCATGTCCAGGCCTCTTAGACCAATCAATGTTCCCACAGCTCTGACCATGTGGCCTCCAGGTGTGGATCGATCTGGTATGCCTGAGCTATGTTCTAGGACAGTGCTTCTCAAGGTTAAACATGCATGCAAATCACTCAGAGATCTCGTTAAATTGCAGGCTGTCATTCACTATGTCTGGGTGAGGTCCAAGACCCTGCATTTATAACAAGTTCCCAGGTGAAACCAATGCTGCTGGTTTCCAGACCACAAATTTTTTTTTTTTTTTTTGAGACAGAGTCTTGCTCTGTTACCCAGGCTGGAGTGCAGTGGTATAATCTTGGCTCACTGCAACCTCCACCTCCCTGGTTCAAGCAATTCTCCTGCCTCAGCCTCCTGAGTAGCTGGGATTACAGGCATGCGCCACAACGCCTGGCTAATTTGTTTTGTACTTTTAGTAGAGATGGGGTTTCACCATGTTGGTCAGCTGCAGACCACACTTTTAGTAGTAAGAGTCTATTGAAAACATACTGAGAGAACCTGAGTGCCTCCAGGGATAAAGCAGTATGAAATTGATACCTCTTTGTATAAATTTGTCTCCATTCACAACTTGGATGAGAACTGAGTAAGACCTCAGTTAAAAAACATAATCACAGTTAAAAACAAGCACCAGCAATCCCTGAGTGCATAGTTGCTCATGGCTATGCATTTTGTGTTCTGTAACAGATTCTGCAGCTTCCTAGAGAAGCAGACAATGAAAGCGCACAGACAAATCAGTTGTCCTGATGAAAACCCCACAAATGTGCACGGAGCCACTGAAGTTGGTGGGTTACTATATGGACTAAATGTTTTCATCCCTCCAAAGATCCGTGCTGTAATCTTAACCCCCAGTGTGATGGTATTAGGAAATTGGGACTTTGGAAGAAGATTAGGTCATGAGCATAGAGGCCTCGTGAATGGGATTAGAGCTCTTATAAGAAGAAACACGTAGGGCCGAGTGTGGTGGCTCACACCTGTAATCCCAGCAATTTGGAAGACCGAGGTGGGAGAACTGCTAGAGCCCAGGAGTTGAAGATCAGCCTGGGCAACATAGTGAGACCCTCTCTATAAAAAATAAAAAAAAGAAATATGAGACCCTGCTTCTTCTACTTTCTACCATGTGAATATGGAACAAGAAGGTGGCTGTCTGCAAGTCAGGAAGTGAGCCCTCCCCAGACACTGGATTCACGGGAAGCTTGATATTGGACTTCTCAGCCCCCAGCAATGTAATAAATAAATGTCTGTCATTTAAGCTACCCAATCTATGGAAATTTGTTATAACAACCAAAACTGACTAAGATAGTCACTGAGTCTGCTATTTGTTCATACCTGAAATTCATCTTTGATTTGGCTGGAGTTCGTCTGGGGGTCCAGCCTGCTGATATTGTAGTAGAGAGAGCGGAATTCACACACAGGGATGGCAGTGTTGCCACAGAGGCACGCTTCAAGGATGGCATCGTGTACAAACACATATTGCTCCTGCAAAGGCAGGGAAGACGGAATGGGGTGCCAGGTAAGAATAGCGGCCTGAGATTTTGCTATCCATATTTAGTGTTGTGGCTATGAAGAATAGACATGATTTATCAATATGTATAAATTACACATGTACACATTGTATGAAATTACAATTAAAATGCATAATGCATACATATTGCTTTGTGCCTGGATACATAGTAATTTCTCAATAAATAATGGCTATTCAACAAATATTTGTTTAAAATCTATGATGTAATAGATACTGGGATTAGGAGTGGGGATATGAAAATATTGTTCCTTTCATGAAGGATTAATAATCAGCGGAGGGAGAGAAAACATTAAGAGGCACAGGATAATGATATTTTAGAGTGCTGACTATATGTCAGGAATTCTCTCTTAGGCACTTAGGCAGAATTCTTACTTTTCCTACTGTAACCCAAAGGTTTCCATGTTTCCTAGGGATCACCTGAGCTATGGTGGGTCTTGTTTCTTATTTAAGATGGAATAGCATAGTCACTGATAAAATTAGAAACTTCTAGACATGCTGTAGCAAGCACTTTTGGTATCCACTCCATTGTCTCCTCAGCTTTCACCTTTACCTAAGGAAGGCTGCTCGCTGCAAACACCTGGGATTCTCTGCTGAAGGCAGAGAGGATACTTGGGCTGTGTGGAAAGTAACCCTGAAGCAATGACAGATGGAGAATTGAGGATAGAAATCTAAGTTCCCTCTCCATTTAGGTGGAATCACTTGGACACGCATGTTCCACACTCCCATAGTTCCCCAGCAGAACAGGGCTCCAGTTGTCTACAGGGTTCGACAGCTTGCTAAAGTAGGCTTTGTTTGTTTCCTTCCATGCTCTGCCTCACTTTCCCACTCACCAGCCAGTGTGTCTTGGGATCACCTTCCAAGAAAATTATCTGCCCGCAAATCTTTGTCTCACAATCTGCTCCTAAAGCATATGTCCTGTCTTCTCCCATCTCAGTTCTTTGTACCTGCTGTTCTCTCCTCCTGAAAATCCACTCCCTCTTTTCTATACCTTTCATGTTCCATTCTTTCTGGAAAGCCATTTGTTAAGCCACCAGGCAGAAGTCGGTGTTACTTTTAGGGCCTAGATAAATGTTTGAGTGATCTTTTTCTGCAGAACTTGGTCAGTTTGTCTATAAAGAGTGCTTATCCAGATGCTCTGTGATGCATCTGCATTTGAATATGTCTCCCCCTATGTCTGACTCCAACCAGCAAGCCTGCCTTCTGCATGCATGAACCAGGGAACAGATAAAGCAGTCTTCTTGGCTTTAACACTAGAAGCCTGAAGACTGGCCTGTGTAAGAGTAAGCTCAGAGCCTATGTGTGTAAACTAATCAGTGATGGTATTCACTGCAGAGTCAGAGGGGCTAGCCGTGCCAAAGCCACGGGTCACTTCCCTTTGCAGGATTGATGATGTGCACAGTTCCTTATCTGTCCCAGCTCTGATTGCCCAGGCATCCACAACCTTCACTAGAACAGAAGATGGGCTCATTACAGGAATGATAAGCCAAGGCACAGAGTGGGATAGACAGAAAAAAACTGGTTAGTGAGTTTGTGGTTCTGGCGAAAAAGCTGGAATCTTTGGGGTCCCATGGACCTAAGTTCTGCCACAGTCTGGTAGGTCTGTGAGGTCTTAGGGACACAATTTCTTCTTCACTGATAAAATGGATATAATACTAGGAGCTACACCATAGCTGTAGGAGTAGAAAAAATATCGTGTATAGGACAAATGTATGCTGCCTGGCTCACAGTAGGTACACAACAATAAAGATTAATTCCTCTCATTACTCCTAGGTCTTGGGCTCTCTAACTGCACAGAGAGGTACCTGAAGGTCTGCTTCTCCCTTGAGGCCAGGGGCTGTATATTATGTCTCTTGAAATCCCAGCACCCAGCTTAAGTACTCAATGACTTTGTTGATTAAACCATTCCCTGCAGTGACTGTACCATCTCTTGGCACGTAGTAGTCACTGAATAAATGCCAGTCCTTCTCTTTCCTTCGCTCATTTCACCCAAGGCAAGAATGCCATTCAAATAATCCCCGAAATTTGTCATTCTGTCCCTGCTTGGGTGCCCTCAGAGATGGAGAAGTCACCGCCATTCACTGGTAGAACTCCCTGCACTGTAGCCCTCCAGGGCTGGCTGGTGTACCCTAGCTTCCACAGTGGTCTCGCCATAGTAAGCCACGTGTTTATTTCCTCCTCCTTCCATCACACCCAGGTCCCTTTCAATAGGAGGCCCCCACCTGTAGGTCTCTCAGTTCTATCATGTTTCTCCTTGGCCAGGGCTACAGGTGACTGTCTTTGTCACCTAGGACTCACCTCTGTCTGCACCAGGTTGACCCTCTGGGCCCGAAGCTCACGCACGCAGTTGAAGATGTCCACCACCCCTTCATTCTCCGCCATGTCAAGCATGGTGTCAATGGCAATGAAGCAGCCAGTCCGCCCGGCCCCAGCACTGGAAGAGAGGTATGGTCTGTGTTAGGTACCTAGGTAGAGGCACCTGCCCTGGGGAGGCCCCTAGCATTCAGCCCTATCCCCAAGGGTCCCGTTGAGAGTCAGTATGCTGCATAGTCAGACAGAACTCTCTGATTCTCAACATTCCTGGGAGATCTTGAGTAAGCAACTAAACGTAGATTAAGCCCCAGCGGTCTCCTTTGTAAAATGAGAGAGTAGTTCTTGTCTCTGAGGGCTATTTTATCAGGACTGACTTATTTGGATGTAGTCATTTGGCAAACATTTATTCAGTGCTTACAAAATGCCATTGTTCTACGTGCTTTATAAATGTTACCTATAGATTTCCCTATGAGGTTATTAAGAAGTTTCTCATCCCATTTTATAGGTGAGAAAACAGGCACAGAAGGCTTACCTTGCCTAAATGAGGTCACACAGCTTTGAAGAGGTAGAGCTGGAACTTTTACCCAGGCGGTCTGGCTCTAGATTCCATGTTCCCACATTTCCTTTCTTAATATTTATAGTTTGTAATGCATGCTCAAACCATACATATACATGCAGTTTCCTGGTGGGATGGATGAAATAATACATCTTTATAGTATAAAACAGCCAGCTCAGCTCCTGGCATGCTGGACATGCATTACAGACATGTCTTTCCTATTTTCTTCCCTTCTTTTCTCCTCTTTTTTCTTCTTTAGCAAATGGGTTGACGGAAGCAAAGAAGGAGGAGAGAGAACAGACGGCAGGCGAATGACAGGACAGAAACTAGAGTCCTCTTAGCTGTCCCCAAGGCAGAGAGTGGCTGGCAAAGCGCCATGTTCAAAACCCGGCCTCTGGCTCCACCTGCAGCTGTTTAAGCAAGAGCGTCATCAAACTGGAGCAGCTGGTCATCCAGAGACCCTTGGTCATCGAACTGGAGCAGCTGACCATGCGGACACCCTTGTCAAGGATTAAGTTTCCTGATACATACTTGACTTGTGGTCACTAATGGCTTCTTTAGAAGGATCTCAAACCAAGAACAAAATAGCAAGGGAACTCAATGAGACTCTATGGGTCACGGCCAGCCCTTTCTATATCAGTGCTGACCAAGGGGCACACAGGACATGTGCCTTGCACATGTGCAGTTTTGGAAGGGAAGGCTGGGCGGCTTGTCGAGGAGGCCCCCTTCCACTGCGTTTTCACATCTTAAATTTCTCATGGAAACAAATGTGTTTGTCGAACAATGGGGATGTCAAAAGAAATACAAAGAGGAAGAGAGATGGAACGAGATGAAAAGCAATATTGGCTGATTATAAATCCCAAGAGCACAAGCCAGTCTCAACCAGTCTATAAGAATCTGCAAAGTAAACCCGCTGGAAGCAGAGTTTTCATTCATGGTAAATTTCATGGTTTGAATAGAGTGAAGTCTGACTTATGTTTGCTTCAGAACCTAGTCCCAAAAATCCAGATGCAGAGACTTAAGAGGCTTGGCCTGAGTGTCTGAGAGGGAGTATAAGGGGTCACTCATCTGTTTTTCTCTTCAATGTTCATACTCAACATATAAAGAACCAGGACAATCTGGTTTTGGACTTTGGAACTATTAGTGGTGACCAAGTTGCCTAGTGTCTGTTAGCTTCAGATTTCTGATGCATTTAACATACCTCCCTACAGGGTCCCTGTGAAGATAGAGCTGTGTTTATTTCAGCATCACACAGTAATTCCACACAGGATATCTGAAGAGACCCCTGGGATTATGTCCTGGCTCTATTACTTACTAGCTGTGTGACCTCAGGCAAATGACTTAACCTCTCTGGGTTTCAATACTCATCTATAAAATGATGTTGATAATAATGAATAGATCCACTTTACAGCATTAATAGCACAATATGTATAAATTACATGAAATTACAATTAAAATGCATAATGCATACAAATTGCTTTGTGCCTGGATACACAGTAATTTCTCAATAATGGCTATCATATTCAACAAATATTTATTGAAAATCTATCATGCAGTAGATGCTGGGATTAAGAGTGGGAATATGAAAACATTGTTCCTTTCCTGAAGGATTAATAATCTAGGGAGGGACAGAAAACATTAAGAGGCAGAGAATAATGAGATTTTAGAGTGCTGACTATATGTCAGGAATTTTCTCTTAGGCACTTAGCATCCTTAGCCAACCCATGTGTTCATAATTTTCAGAACAGCTCCAGGAATGGGTACCACTCTGCTCAGATGCCTTAAGATGACCTGCTATGGAGATGCATACCACATAGGACCATCATGCACAGAGGGCCTGATCAACATTTGCTATTGCCTTTCTTTCTCCCGAACCCTTGCTCTGGGTTCTCTTTGGGATATGGAGATGGGGGAGTTAATGTTCTATTGTCCTTGGATTGCTATGAGATATAAAGCGGAGCATACATGCAAAACGCTTAGAGAGTCCACGGGCTGTGATGAGGGTTACCTGCTCATCCTCTCTTGCCTTGTCTGTGAAATGGGGCTGTGTAGCTACTACTGCTGGGAAGATAAATGGATGCGGGATGAGGAGGGAGCTGGCTCTGAGACATCCACACTTATGGAGTCTTCCTGGATCTCTTGACTGACACATCCCTGCCAGGGCAGGGATGTGATAACTCAAGCATCCAGGGTCTGAAAAGAGGGGCTGGCCCAAGGTCATATTGGAAGAGAGAGGCATTGGGAAGGAGGGGGATGCCAGCTGGTTGGCCTTCAGGTCAGGAAGTCCATCCTCCTTCCATTCTGGACGCCCTTGACATGATACTTCACCTCCATTCGGGAGGACTGAAAGACGGGCCACTCATTCTCAATCTGACTTTCTAGGTCAGAGCTGAAAATATCCCTTCTCCATAATAAGGTGGAACCTGGTGCTGTCCAGTTCTCTCTATGAGGGACCCTGCAGGCCGGCAATTGATTTTGAAAATAATAGAAACGAAAAGAAGCATGCTTCCACCAAGGCACCCTGCTGCCATGTCAAGGAGCTGAGGGCGAGTGTCTGGGGAAAAGCAGATTAAATATCCCCACTCTGTGTTTACCTTCTCAGCGCTTCAGTTTTTGTATCTGTAAAATGGGAATGATAATAATGCCCATCTCTTAAGACTGGACGAGAAGTAAATTAAATCATGTGGGTATAGTGCACTTGACAGACATAGCAGATGCTGCCCGTGTTCAGCCTGCCTCCCTGATGACCACTGTTTCCAGGCACCAGCAGTAACAATGGCTACTACTGCTATTACTCTTGTTGGGTGACCTTGCCACCAAGTCTCATCAGAAAGCACTGGGCATGGGGGACACAGGAAGAGGAGTCTTTAAGAGTAAAACCACTTGAAAAGATAACATGTGCCTCCCAAGAAAACCAAGGTGCAGAGGCACACTTGGGTAGGTGGAGGACCTTTGACTTACCTGCAGTGGACCACGATGGGCCCGGCTTCGGGGGGATTGAGGAACTTGACCTGGCGGACGAAGCCCAGGAGGCCAGTGGCATAGCAGGGAACGCCGTGGTCAGGCCAGCTGGTGAAGTGGAAGAGGCGGAGCTCCCGGATCTCATGGTAGCCTTTCTGAGGAGAGAAGAGGCCCCTATTCTTCCAGCTGCTGCCCTCACATACCCAGCCCGGCAATATGTGGAGCCACAGCCGCTGCGCTGAGGAACGTCCAGCAGGGACAGCGCCCTCGCAGGGTTAACAGGTGTTTCTGCATAGAGCAATCTGTGATCAGTTACATTTGGGAAACGTGGGATTGAGAAAATGAAATCGATGGCTTTAGCACAGGATGCGTCAGAGCCTTGAGGGTGCTCATACACACTCTGAACGCCCAAGAGGGCCATAGGGGACTCTAGGGGACCTTCTTCGACCAGTGTTTATAGGAGGTATATTGAGTAGAAGGGATTCAAAGAAATGTGAGCCTTGAAGACTGAGTCCAAATTGTTTCCTCTGGAATCTGAGGCCTTTCAGTGATTGAGGTCTGATGTCCCACAGTTCTGGCCTTGACTGTGCTAGTCTGCGTGGCTCTCAAAGTTTATAAAACTTAGTAGGCTTCTAGATAAATTAGATTCTTAGAATGATTAGGTAAGATGCAAAACAAACAAAAGCAGAGTTTCTCTGACTGATGGAGGCAGAGTGGGACCTGGAGCTCAGAGCCGTTCCCCTTCCCTTTGACACCCCGCCCCCAGCCCTCACAGAGACACACTCCAGGCCCAGTCGTGGTTTTCTGAGTATTCCATGGTCAGGTCACACTTCTAAGCCTTTGCTTAGACAGTTCCTGCTACCTACTATTTTTCTACTTAGGAATCTCCTGCAGATACCCAGAGAGCACTGAATAGGAAGAGTCTGTTTGATTGTTCATTCTTTCAGTTAAAAATCATTCACCAAGTGTGACCTGTGCCCAGCTTTGTGCTAGGTACTAGGAAGGTGAGAATAAAAGCCACAGCTCCTATCCCTGGAACAGCTCATGGCCTTGTCAGGGAGGCAGATGCCCAAGTGGGTAATTCTATTGAAGTGTGCCAAGGAGTGCCTGCTAACCTGATCTGTGGAGAGGAAAAATCAGAGAAGGCTTTCTGGAGGAGGCGATGCTTAACCTGAATCTTGAAACAAGTAGTGAAAATAAAAGCTAACATTAACTAAGCATTTACTCTGTACCAGTCACTCTTCTGAACACTTCAATGTCCTAACTTATTTAATCTTGATATCAATCCCTGTAATTTTATCTCCATTTAATGGAGCAGGAAACCGAGGCTAAGGCAAGGTTAAGTGACACACCCAAGGTCACAGTACAGCTCATGAGTTGTAAAGGAATGATGTGAACCCTGGCTGTCTCCCTCCAAAGTCTGCACTCTTAATCATTATAATATACTGATATGTGAGTATTACCCAGTTGACGGGAGGAAAGGAAGGGAATCCAAGGCAGGGGGACAGCATGGGCACAGGTTTGGGGACAGGGCTTAGCATGGCATGTGCAGAGAATCACTAGCAACCCAGGGCAATGCTAGAGGCAAGCAGAAGACAGGCCATGGGGGACCACAGGACTGGGGGTGTAGGAGAATGGACGAGAGCTGGATCCCAGAAGGCCCTGAATCTACATTAGCGCCTTTCGACTTTATCTCAAAGGCATTGGGAAGCTACAGGGAGATTATACCGATGGTTCGACAGAAGAGGAAGTGCATCATTAGACTTGCATTTCAGGAGGTTGCATCCTGCTACATGAAGGATGGATTGAGGTGGGTGTATTGGGGGTTGCAGAGAGAGCACTATTGCTGCCCACTCAGATCCCCATCACCGGCCCAGTGTGCTCCTCGCCAGATGCTCTGAGTCTCGTGGCTGCACACAGCTCACACTTACCCTCTTGTGAAGGGAACTGTTCTCAGCTGAAGAGGAACCCTCTCCCCTGGGATGTGGCAGCATCCTTCAGTGACTGATAGTAGAGGGAGAGTGATCAACTGGCTTGCTACTTGCCTAGTCTGCCCAGGACTGAGGGGTTCCCTGGTACACAGGACTTACAGTGAAAAAACCAGTAATGTTCTGGAAGAACCAGAAAAATTGTTTACCCTAATGGGGGCACCCGAGGCCTCTTTGCCTCAAGGTTGGACCAAGTGTGCAGTACCATTCATGTTCCAAGGCTCCCATGGGGTCAGGTGGAAGCAAGTCTGCTGAGGCCACATCCCCACCCAGCTCCTTTCCCCACCCTGTCCTGCCTCTCTCCCTGCCTCCCCCCTGCAAACCCTCCCTCAACACATGAGCCGGGGCACCAAAACCCCTGCTGCTTCTGGCTCTGCTTCCAGGAAACCCAAACTAACATAAGGGCAGGACTAGAGGCAAACAGTCCTGTTAGGAGGAAGAAACCAGAAGCCCAGATTAAGGCAGTGATGGATGAGCTGAAGTGAGAGAGGAGAAAGCTTCAAGAATACTTGGACTTTTTTTCATGCCATCCTCCAAATCAATTCAGTCCCAGAAGCCCTCCTTTGAGCTCCTCCCACCTGTGCTATGCTTATTTATCAAGGATCCTCTCTCCCCAGTGCGATTGTGCTGTCTTCAAGGGCAGACTGCACTCCCTGTTTATTATTCCCAGGTTCCCAGCTCAGGAACCGATTTTGAGCTAAAATTGTAGGTGATGTTTGCCGAGTGTCTGCTCAAGTGCTGTGAAGAGGGTGGCTAAGCCCAGTTAATGCTCAGAAGCCCTTGGGGTCCCTTAAGGTTCCCTGTGGGTCAGCTCTAGGCTAGACTTCTCTGGAGCCTCTGCCCTTGCTTGGCGTCTTCCCTTGCCTCTCCTGCTTCCCACTCTCTTTTAGGAATTTCTTCTGGGAGAGCTCCCTTGACATACCTTGTGTACCTGAATCCTTGCCTCAGGCTCTGCTTCTGAACAATCTGACCTAAGGCAACATCCAAGTACCTGATGGTTTCCCCTCCTGTTAGTGGAGGGAGTTCACAGGCTTCCTGACTTTTTCACCCAAGACTGAAGATTCAGATGAAAAAGACCCTGAGACTTTAGGAGTCTGGAGGTTTGAGGGGGAGCTGCCAGGAGCAAACAGAATGTCGTGGGCCACTCTGTATGCTGGAACAGTACCGTGTGCATCGCAGGCTCTAGTCTGCAGAGCAACCTGCTTTGGCCCTTGCAAGGACTTGTCCAAGCCTCGAGGGCTCAACTCTCAAAGCACATAAGTCCCCAGCGCTTCTGCATCCTCAGGCCTGTGGCCACATTGTCTATTAAAGTGGTTGCTTTTAGAGAAATGGAACCTAGGCTGTAATGGAAAGAGAAATGTGTTACAGGGGCCAAAGTGTGAATCCTGGTTCTACCAACCTTGCCGCTGGGCAACTATGGACAACTGATTTAAATTCTTGGTGTCTCAGTTTCTTCACCTGTGAAATGGGGATAATAATAGCACTTACCTTATAGGGTTGTTGGGAGGACTGAGTTACTCTACGCAAAGCATTTAGAAAAGTACCTGGTTTAGTACGTGCTCAGTAAATGTCAGCTATCACTATGATATAATAGCAATGGCAGAACAGCAATGATTACATAGCAAATTATAAATGTATCTATTATTATTTGCAATCACATTCTTGCTCACCATGCTTGTACAGCCCTGGCGTCCTTTCAATGTCTACACCAGCATTTCTCAACCTGGACAATACTGATGCCTTGGGCTGGATATCCTTCGTTGTTGGGGGATGTCCTGTGCACTGTGGAATATTTGTAAGCATCTCTAGCCTCTACATGCTAGGTGCCAATAATATCCTAACCCTCCTCCCCTAAGTTGTGACAACCAAAAGTGTTGCCAGACATTTTACAAATATTCTTTGGGGGATCAAAACGCCCCTGGTTGAGACCACAGGCCGTGAACAGGTCGAGATCGTTCTTCCCCTCCAGACTGCATGTTTTTTCCCTTTGGCTGAGGTAGCTCTTCCTTCCTTTCTACCCTTCACTGGTTCCTCCTCCTTCATTCTCTGCCCAGAAGAGGCTCTCTCCTGCCACCCCATCCTCCTGTTTATTTCTATCTCCATCCTTTGCATATTCCTGTGTGGCTTTTGTCACAGTGTGTTATTTCATTGATTTGCTTATTGAATTCAGTTTGTCCCACCTACTAGATGTGGCATCTATGGTAGCAGAATCCATGTCTACCTTGATTGCTGATATATTGCTGGTGCCACGCATGGGGCTGGACATAGAACAGACCCTCAGTCACCATGTGCTCTGGCTGAACAAACAAGCCAGTTCTCATGGTGGACAAGCTGCCCAAAGCCGCTGGGAAGCTTACCTTCTGGACTGTGAAGGTGCGTATGACGTATTCTGCCAGGGGCTCTGTTTCAATCAGGGTGACTTTAATGTCTCCGTAGACCTCCGTGTCATCTGGCCAGTATCGCACACACTTCACCTGCAGCCAAGTGAGAGACAGAGACAGAGCAGAGACGAGGATGCATAAGCACGCGGCTGAGTGTGAGCAGCCGTCCCATCTGGTCGTCCCATTCAAATAAACCCAAGGGTGACTTTGGTGGCATTTCAGTCCATAGGATTCACAGCTGGCCAGGGATCAGCAAGCTGCGCAGAGCCAAGCTCACTCCCAGAGGCACTGGGGCCATTAGAAATAATTGTAGTACCTTCTTTTGCAAAGCTCCTTGTAATTTTCCAAGGCATTATCACACTAAGTGATCAAATAGAGCAAGGTGAGATAGGTGGGTGTTATTATCCCCACTTTACAGATGAAAATAAAACTCAAGTTCAGAGGTTTGGTGACTTGTCCAAGGTCAGGTGGCCAGGCTGGGGACTGACCGAGTCCCCTTTCTGCTCTGTCAGCGTGGAGCAGCTGCGTGCTATCAGCTGAACAAAGATGAGAATAAAAGGTGGGAAATAGGAGGTGGAAGCAGAAGTGGTTGGGAGGGGACATCATTCAGAGGTGGCAATTGGGGGTCTGGAAGGAGAAAGGCTCTTAGTTGGGAAAAGGATGGTAGGTGCTGGGTTCCAAGGGAAGATGCGCAACTCCTCTCTGACCCTGGACGCGAGCAAGCCATTCCCCAGTCGACTCTTTAAGTCACACTCATGGATGAAAAAGAGATCATGGTTTTCCCCTTAAAAGAACAAAAGCGTGATTACCATTCCGGGGGACGCCGCACGGCCTAGAGTGGCATTTCCCACAGTGTGTTCCGCTGGGTGCTAATAGGTGTTAGGTAAAAAAACAAGAAACAAAAAAAGGTTTTGTGGTCAAATGAGTTTGGGAAATGCTGTATTACACAGTTAAATAGGCAGCTTTGCTACAGGACTACTCAGCTTCTTTCGCATGCTAGTGCTAATGTGTTCTGTGTTTTGCAACTCTCCAAAAGGGGCATAGAGGATGCAGCATTTCCCAAACGTATTTAACCATGGAACCCTCTTCTCACTAACCATCCTGCAGACTAGCATCCCATGGAACCCACTTGGGGAAATACTGGTATAGTGCAACAGGGCCTGGGGGGCCAATGGATTCATTGCTTGGTCCTAACAAACACTCAGTATCTGGGGAGCCCCAGAAAGTGCTGAAACCTCTCTGAGCCTCAGCTTCCTATCAGTAATGATAGCTAACATGTACTGACGGTGTACTATGTCTATCACAGCTCACAAATTCTTCTGCTAATACTTTACAGGTATTATTTTAATGACTTTTCAAAACAACGTTACGAAGTAGATACTATTATCCCCATTTTGCAGACGAGGAAGCGTAGGAAGACTAAGAAAATTGCCCAAGGTTAACGGTTGGTAAGGGATGGCGCCAGGATGCAAACCCAGGACACCTGAATAATAACTAGGAATGTGGGCTCCTATGATTGTTGAAAGTTGCAGTAATGTACAAGTTCTGGCACAGGGTTTGGCACTAGCAGGAGTTCCTCTAAGAGATTGCTTTCCTCCCCAAATCCAATTTAGATTTATGGTCTATTCATCAAGGGAATCTGTTTCCAATGTGGGATATATTATAGAACAGGCTAGAATTTGGCTCCAAATCCCTGAATCCTGGGCTGGCCTTTTTGTCCACAGTAGCCACACCCTGGGCCTGGGTCCCTGGGGAACCGTCTGAGTGGGGTGGCCATAAGCACTGGAATGAGAGTCACGTGTCAGATTTTGTGCCTGGGTTTTGGCTGAGTGACTCCAGGTTAGGCACTCTGCCCCTTCAGGTCTATTTCCTCATCTGTAAAATTGAGTAATGGACTAGATAAGGATGGACTCACGGATAAAGTCTCACCTGGTCCTAAATTCCCATTCGGCCCTGAGATGTCCATGCCCCTTTATTAGATTTCAAAAACTCAGATTTTCTCCTTCCCATTATCAGAGGCCAGAATTCATCTTTATGAATTATCTCTTTTTTACCCAAACAAAAACTTACCTGCCCACTTTTCAGTTAGTTCACATGATGTGTGGAGAGCCCTTTTAATTCTGGTGTTTGTACGCCTTGCCTTTAAACTCAGCAGCCCACCCACATGCCACAGTTAACCAAGTAGGCAAAAGCAAGCTGGGAATAGCAGTCCCATTTCTAAGCCCCGGGACTAGTTAAGGACGAACCTCAGAGAGAGTTGAGATGGAGCAGAGCAGGAGATCAAGATCTGAGAGCCCTGAAGAACATCAAGATTTAGAGGTCAGAGGAAGAAGAGCAGGGAGCAAAGGGTTGGATGCCACTGAGGTTGAGTAAGATGGGAAGACAGAATTGGAGACTGGATTCGTCGACATGAAGGAGGATGCGAGTGATACTGACGATATCACTGTTGGTGGGATGGAGGGAGGAGCTACGCTGGGGTGGGTAGAAGAGAACATGAGTGAAGAAACAGAGCCTTTCTGTGAGTCTTTAAAGTTTGGCAGAAAAGCAGGAACAAGAAAATGCTTTTTATTTACCTTTTCCTTTCTTTTTAAGATGGGAGGTGCTGGGCATGTTTGTATGCTAAAGGGAACAATTTGGCAATGAGAAAGAGACTTATTTTGCAAGTGAGAAAGGGAAAAATGAAAGAAAAAAAATTAAGTAGAATCTGTGATCCGGGCACTAGGCTTGCCTTTGGAAGGGCAGAGACATGGTTGCTGTTGTGTTAGGCTGAGCCATAAGAAACAGTTGATATTTGACCATTTGGGTCAACAAAAACAGCCATTTCTTATAGTTGAACCTGACAGCAGAGGGGAAGAACAAGAGCATGGCTGTAGATACAAGTAGGATTGTAGCTTTGTGGTGTGACGATGAGGGAGTACATGACTGATGGTTTTAACTTCCTCAAAATATGAGATGACATCATCGACGGAGAGTGAGGGTGGAAAAAGGGATGAAGGGGATTTGAAGGGAAAGGACGTTGCTTGAATGTGGAAGAGGAGTGATGACACCTCCCTTGTAGGTCGCTGTGAGGGTGAAATATTGACTAGGAGGCACTTAGCACAATGCACGGAACAGAGAGATGTTCAAGAGTGCACCTCCAGCATTCTCTGCCCAGGCAAGTGCAGGAGAGGCTTACCCTGCCCACTTCCACCAGGTTTGTGACCATGACGATGCTGGCGGAGTTCTCCTGCCAGATCATTCTCCAGAAGTCCTTTACGGTCTCCTGCATTGGACCTGCCAACAGAGAAGCCAGTGAGGTTAGAGAGCGCAAGTGCAAAGAAGCAGCTGAGAAGGTCTGTCCCTCTGGTTGGTCAAGTCTCCACACCAGTGAGCAGGAGGGAGGCCGTGTGATCCTCGTTAAGATACCAAGTATCTGAGACATGGGCCTGAGATATGTTGAGCCTGATGGGGCCAGATCAGGGTATGGATAGGGAAAGCCTCATGCCAAGCTCTCACAATCTGCAACGTCTCCTTTCCCTTTTGTCCTCCTCCTGCTCAGACCCTTCCTACCAACTCCACCCATCACCTTATCAGGACTGTATTATGGCTTAAGGGGAGTTTTCAAAAACTGGGCTCCAGAACTTCCATGAAGGACAGGAAGGCAATTGGGGTGTGGGGTGGAGAGAGCTGCTGGGTGCCAGATGCTGAGAACAAAAACAGGAGATGCCTGATTTTGAGCTTGACAAATGCTGGAGGCATTCCTCTAGAGCCTGAACAGAAAGAAAGAAAGAAAAAAAAAAGAAAAAAAAAAAAAAGACAAGGAGCAGAAAATAGGCTCTGACAGTCCAAAGCAATTTCCTCAGAAATTACTCTTTCAATGTCCTGGGCCTTCGTCATTTTTAAAATTACAAAAGTAATATGTGTGTTTGATATAAAAGTTTGAATACCATTTTTCTATATTTATATGTATATGTGTGTATTACTGTAATAAGCATCAGACCTATTATATGCATTTTCTGATACTCTTAAAAGTTCTTACCAAGTATAATAGTTTTAATAGCTGCAAGGTTTTCTATAATGTGGTGGTAACACACTTTATGTAACCAACGTACCAATTGTTGGGCATTTAAGATTTTTCACTTTTTTTTCCCATTATGGATAACACCGTGAAGAATGTTCTTATATGCGTCATTGTCTCTATATATAATTATCTGCAGGACTTTTTTTTCCAGAAGGGTTTGAAAGGTATGATCATGCTTAAGCCTTCTGAAAACGCACTGCCAAGTTGCTTTCTAGGGCAACCAGCTGCATCTCTGCTACAGACACGCACCCATCATGGAGATAAGGCCCCATCAGCTCCGGCCCTGGCAGGTGTTGATGGCACCTGCTCGGGCCTCTCCCTCCTGACCATTTCCAAGTAACAGCTCCTTCCTCTGTCACTCATGGGCCTTTTTCCTATAGCGAAAATTGTCACCATTTTCCTTCCCAAATAAACAAATGAACAATTTCAAAGACCTCTACCTCTGTGGCTTCTTTGCTGGTGGAAACTCATTCCTCTCCTCCAGGGCTGTTAAGTGAAATGGAGTGTTGGAGTAACAGATACAGGACAGAAGGACAAGCCTTGCAGTTAAGAGAACCCTTTCCCCTGGCACCCTTGAAGCCTCTCTGAGGCACTAGGAGGAGGGAGGGCACTTACCTTGAGTTGCAATGTAGTGCCGCGGTCGATGGTATCCCTGGATAACAGGAGAAAAGCACTGTGAAGGGTCTCTTGTCAAAGCTTGCAAACAGCACAATATTAATAAACATCCTCTCCAAGACATTATTTTCTCATAGGCAAAATGGAAACAGCATCAGTTATTCCCAGAGAAGTGGCAAAGGTTAAATAAGATATTGCACATAAAGTGCGTAGTAAGTCACTAAATGCTAGCTCTTCCTATGGTTACTTGTGAGGTGTCTACACAGGCTTGCCTTGGAACCAGTGGCACTGGGAGCAAAGATTGGATGGGCATCACTTATCCTTATACACCCAAAAAGAGGCAGAGAAGGCGTTTTTAGGTTTATGGGGAGCATCAACCACCAAAAAGTCTTTCCTGAGCCATGATTATGTGAAGTACACTGTGCAAGACCCTATGGGATACCCAGAGAAGAAAAAAAGCAAGAAAACAACGTAATTGTCGGCTCCTTGCATTAGTAACCATTAGAAAAAGACAATTGAGAAGTATCCCACATTGATTCTCTGTGCCAACATTCTTGGGCTTGGAATTGAAGTCCCAGGTACAGAGAGGACCTTACACAGGTGTGACCTGGGAGACCCATAAAGCTACCTGCTAATCCAAAGACCAGTTTCTAATTTCTGTGTATATTTCAGAGCACTCTAGCAGCCTGCTGTACTCTGGTGGGGAGTACCCTGCTGCCTCATAACCTTAATCACTGGAGGAGATGTTGAAGGTGACTCCTTGTTTGCCTGGGCATGTCATACATGGAGTGTCCTCTTTCCAGTTACAGTCATATTGAGGAGAAGTCCTAGTTTTGGAGATAGACAGATCTGCATGTAGTGCCGAACACTGAATACAATTAGTATTTGTTAAATAAATACATGAGTAAATGAATGAATAGATGAATAAAGTTTTTAAAGAACACAGATGCCAGTTATGGAGACTATCAATGGAGAGATTGTTCACAGTCCTGAAATCCACTCAACTTTTATGGTTAACCATGCCCAGAGAAAGTACATCCTAAAGTTTGATGTCTTTGTCTTAGATGTTGCTGACCAGTCTTTTTGTCCTGCTGAGGTGGATGAACTGCCTTGAGGCCTCCTCCTTCAGGAAATAGAACTGCCATCTGTATGGCTTATGGTGCCGCAGATGGGGCATCTCTAAAGTTCTAGACCCACTTTCAGATTCAAAGACAAGTTTCTAAATCCCTTGTACATTTCTCCACCTTTGTATTTCACATGCTCAATAGCTATTTTGTAGGCACCTTCCAATTGCTGGGCCTGCTCTGGAGTTGGAGGTTGGCACCAATCCAGGGACAATGTCATGACCAGAACTGCTGGATTAACCACAGAGCAATCAGCAGCCCCACTTAAACTCTGTGCTTGAGCAATCATATGTACTCAGTGAGGTTGTTGGCTTCTTAAGGACAGACACTCCCTACTTTGCTTAAAAATTCTTTTTTCCCACAGAGCTCAGCACAGTGTGAGACTCACAGCAAATACCCAATAAACAAGCTGTTGACCAACCAGCTAGACAGGCAACATAGCATGGTGGTTATGTGTACCATGGACTCTGAAACCCAGACGCCTGGGTTTGAATCCTGGCTCTGTCCCTTCTAGGCTGTGTGGTCTGGGACAAGCTACTTAGCCTCTTTGTACCCGAGTTTTAAAACTCACAATAGCAAAGATATGAACTCAACCTACATGTCCATCTCAATGGAGGACTGAATAATGAAAATGTTATACACACACACACACACACATAGTATTCCATATGTAGATAGATATAGTATATGTACATATATACACACACATCATGGAATACTACTAAGCCATAAAAAATAACAAAAATCATGACTTTTGAAGCAACATAGATACATGGATAGACCTGGAGGCCATTATCTAAAACAAACAAAAAAGCCCCCTCAGAAACAGAAAGTCAAATACCGCAACTTACAGTGGGAGCTAAGTGTGCATATATGGATGCAGAGTGTGGAATAGTAGACGCTGGTGACTCAGAAGGGTGGGAGGGTAGGAGGGCGGTGAGGGATGAGAAATAATGTAAGAGGAGCCATGTATACTATTCAGGTGATGGTTACACCAAAAGCCCAGACATCAGCACTGTGCAATACATCAATGTAACAAAACACCTGTACCCCCTAAATCTATAAAATTAAAAAAAAATAATGGGCATAATGGTATTTACATCATAGTGTTGTTGTTCAGATGAAATGAGTTGATATGCAACAGTTACGATGTGCCAGGAACTATTCTAAGATTTAACATGTACGTCTTTGCTATTGTTATTTTATTGTTTATTTGGCAAACATTTATTTACTGAGTGCCTATCAAGGCTAAAAGTATATGCGGGCCTCTCAGAGGATACTGGGATGATGAGATCTCCTTTCTGTTAATGAAATAATGAACCCTTCCCTGTGACACAAGAGGGAGGAAGACCTATCTTTTCCTCCAAGTGAAGTGGACAGGGCTGCACAGGCTAAAAGAAAGAATTAAACTCAAGGGTTTTTTCAGTAGTTTTGGGAATAGAAGATAATCTCCTAGATCCTGGAAAGATGCGGTTTCTCAAGTCTACTCTCTTTTACCATCCCCATCACTCATTCCCACAGCCCTCGTCGTCCCTGGCTGAGGCCACAGCATCAACCTGCAGCTGGCCTCCCGGCCTCCAGTTTTGCTCTGTAGCCTTGCTGCTTCCTAACCCCATGAGCTTCCTCTTGCACACTACCCTGCTTATAAGCCTGCAGCAGCACCCTATTGCCTGCATGGTAATGACCAGATGCCTTAGCTTGGGACTAGTCATCTGTCTCCATCCTTATCTCCAGCCTCACCTCCAGTTGTCCCTCTATGCCCACTCCGACAACCCCACATATCCTGTGTTTCAGCCTCACCAAGCTGCTCTTGAAATATGCTCTCCTCTGGGATGCACAGCTGACTTCTTCCTCCTGAGTGGCCCAGTAGAGCTTTGTATATGCTCAGTGAATACAATTCCATATAGAGTAGCAATTTTTTTTGGACTTTTCTCCTCCTGGGCCATGGCACATGCCACCCAGAGCTGGGTGCAGTTTTCAGCCGTCTGGTTGGTGAAATGCATGCATGAATGTTTTTGAGCTGAAGTTGGAGCATCCTCTTAATGCTTAGGCTGGAAGAAAAAGAGACCCTGGAGGAAGCTGTGATTTGGAAGCTTCTAATGTACTTGAAATTCAGTGAGATAACATTCTGAGCAAGAGATTCACATTTTAATTGTAGAGTTAAATGGCTTGGATTCTCTATTTTGTGAATTCATTTGTTTGCACAGTCATTCACTGTCAATCAACAGGTATTAATTAAGCACCTACTATGATATACAAGGCACTGGAAATACAAAAATGAACCAGACGAATGTGGACTTTGCTTCTGAACAACTTGCAGACATCAGCAGACTGGGGTAAAGGCTACTAATGGGAAGATGTCGGGACTCTGTGGAGCACCCATGGGAATTGAACAGCCAAGGAGGTCACCTCAGAGGAGGTGGTGGTTGATTGTCTCCCTAAGCCTGGTTTGGGCATCTTGACACTTCTTGTCACTTCCATTTCATCCCCTCAGTGATATTCCCAGTTTCTCTACCATTCTTTCATTGTCCACTGGCTCTTACCCTTCTTCAGAGACAGGGATCACATGTCCATCCAGAGGCCTTAGCACTCACCCTTCCCTGTGCCTGCTATGTCTGCCCCAGGTAACTGAGTGGCTTGCTCTCTCACTCCATCCAGGCATCTGCTCAGCTGTCAATCACTTCTGCGGAGAGTTCATCTCTGACTACCCCATCAGCTTCTTTCCACTTTTCTCGCTTACTTTTTTTTAGATAACTTATCACCAAGTAGCATACTATTCTTTATTTATTTACATGATTATTGTCTGTCTCCCCCAGCTGAATGGGAGCTCCATGAAGCCAGGGCTGTGTATCTGGCTTGCTCATGGCCGTGTTCCTAGCATCTAGAAGTCAGCCCGGGCCACCGGCCTTGAAAAATTCACACTGACTGAATGCATGCATGCTGTATGCCTGTCCCCACACTGCATCTGAGTAAAGAGACCCTCCTTGGCTTCTAAAAACCCACGCAGTCCCCAAAGAGAAAACATTCTAACCACGAGACTCCTCAGCAAAGGAGATAAAAGGAAATGTACTGCTCAATTGGGGCTCCTCTGGGGATTCGCCAACAGTGAGTATAGAAAACTTCCTAACCTTAAAAGAACTTTGAGTTCATTTAAGTCCCACCTACACAGCACGCAGATCGACTGCAAACCAGCACTGGGCCTGCCTCCATCTGTCTGTGAGCAATGGGAAAGAGGTTTGCATCCAAAACGCATTTATCTCACTCTGCACTCATGCATCTGTTACTTACTGGGGACCCAGATACGATATTTATTTCCAGACTGGTAATTTATAACAGATTTAAGTGGCCAATACATTTTCGGGTGTGCAAACAAACGTACTAGCGGGATGGTTCAGACAGTAACAGACCACGGCCTCCGGAGGCAGAGACAGGGCTGGCCCCATTCAGCTCATTATCCCAATGGAGTTATTTTAATGAATCGTCAAGATCCAATTGTGGAAAAATGATTCTAGCGTGGGCAGTTAGCTCTTTAGGGAGCCAGGAAGGATTCTGGCTAGGGCGGAGACCAGGGTGATGGAGTGAGGGCCTAGTTAGCTGTCTGGAGTATTGTTTTGCCAGAGACCCCAGGAATTTTAACTTTGCTGGAGTATATAGTTGGTTCACAATTAATGGAGTTCCTCCACTCTTCACTCTATAGTGGTAACTGTGCCAGGAGTTGCTTGTGGCTGGTTATCTTCCCTTTGTCCCTCCATTTCCCTTTCTTTCCACGGTCTGCTCTGTATGGGTCGCACCATGCACTCCCATTGCTTTCTGCTTCAAATTGAGTTTAGTCAATGGGGAACAAAAGCAGGAGCTCAGAGGCCAGGAGGAGGATGGGGCATATATTCTTCTAGATTCCTCCCTGCCAGGTCACCATGGCTTGCTTGACCTCATTGCTCAATCAAGGGCTTCAGTTCTTGAAGGTCAGCTCTCTCTCAAAGCTACTCCCTTCCCTTGTCTGGGTCTAGGGCTGGTAAGGGCTCCCTACTATTGCCAGCCTAGAGATACTACATCCTAACCTACTGGTTTCTCTTCATCCTGTTCACATCTGTATTAAACTATCCTTGGTTACCCACTTTGAGGAAGCCTATGTTTCTTTTTGAGAGCATGACAGATACTTTACATCAGTTATCACACACTTGTGGGGTTGCACCATTATCTCATATCATAGATATAATAATAGGTAAGTGAGTTACCCAAGATCACAAAGCTAGTAATCCAAAAGACCTAGATTCAACAGTCAGGCCTTCAACAAAGACCAAATTCATGACTCTATCAGCCCTTGAGTCTAACCACTGAGATTCACCCCAGAGTTCAATATCCCTTAATAAGACAGCATGAACAGAAGACATTTGCCCTGTTTGCAGAACCTATTCTTACAGAGAGAAGAAGGACGTTGTGGTGTGTCCTAAGTGGGCAGAGAATTGAAGTTCAGTTGTGTGACCTTGGACAGTGCTCTTAACCTGGACCTCTGGTTTCCTGTTTTTAAAGGCTTGAAATATGCCTTGTAATGATAAAACAGGAAAGAAATCAGAGGCATAATTAGCACTGGTATTGTACAGATTAACTTGCATTTAAAGCAGTTTCATTTGTTGCCTGTAAAATACTAAAGTGTATCTTGGCCCTGACTGTAGTCAGATGCTCATTCAACTTCGGATTGAGTGCCTATCTAGAAAAATGACTTTTGCTGGGGGATTCTAGTCAAATAATGAATGCCAGATACAGAGACTCAGGCAGGCAAGATCCTGTGTGGGCCGTGGCCCTTAGGGTCACATCCACCCAGCCACAGACAAGGTCAAGGAGAAATGGATGGAATCACTTCAGCCTGCATCAACACAGGCTGACTCAGTCCTTGCTGTGTGTTGGCTACAAGGTGGTGTCTGGGAGTGGGTGGGAAGGGGAAGGAGAAAGAATGCTGTAACTGGGAGCCATTCAGGTCTGGTTCCCATTCCGGTTCTGCCACTGACCAGCTGCATGGCCTGGGACATATTTGTAATTCATCTAAACCTCGGCCCACCCCATCTAGAGAATGGGAATGTTAACAGCTACCCTGAAGGGTTGTTAAGAAGTTTTGATAAGCTGACTTACTTAAGCCATCCATCATAGGACCTTAGAGTGACTCATGAAGAACCAACTGGTGTTGCCATTGCTCACTGTGGTTATTAAAGACAGCAGGGTATGGTGGGAGAGGTGCTCTTGACTCAGGTTTCTGTTCCCTCCTCCCCTACCTCCTAGCAGTATAGTTTTGGACAAGTTATATAACCTTAAGAGAGCCAGCTTACTCATCTGGAAACGGGTAGTAATGACACTTTACCTTGTGAAGTTGTGATACTAGTTAAGGTGATGTTGGTATATGAAAGGCGATCAGTAATTCTTAGGTTACTATAAACCTGTCTTGCCTGGTGGCTCTAGGTCATCTTCCAAGGCAGGACTGAGACATCACCTCCTCCAGGGAGCCTTCACTGGCTACTTCCCTTTCCCCACCAACCTGAAGCTTCCATTTTCCTTTACAGTCCCACAGCCCCTACTCTGTGAAGGTCCATTTTGTTATCTGACTTCCTCACCAGACTTGAGTCTCTTTTAGGTTACAGACCTGGTCTTAAAAGTCAATATTTTCCCATATACAGTGGACGGTCTGCTCTTTGTTTGTGAATTGAATACTGGACGTATGAGGAACAGGCTGCTGGCATGACGAGTGCATGCTCAGAGTGCCTTGCTCTGGGCTGGAGAAAAGCTATTCAGAACTGGCATCTCCTGTGAACTTTCTTGGAAGGGTCATGGCGGCAGAGATGGTGTCCATCTTCAACTCCACTGAAGTTCCAGCCCCAGTTCTTGGCCATGTAGTAAGCCCTTTGTTAATTAGGGTGGAGTTAGGGAAACAAAAACTGCTCTAGGTGTTTCCGACAGAGGTAATTCAGTACAGGGAGTTGGTTACACAAGTGATGGAGGAGCCAAGATGCCAGGGAACAGTGGGGCAACCCAGAGATCAGGGTCAGCAGGAGGCTGCAACCACCCTTAGAACTAGTGGGTTAACGGGAAACAGAGAAATGACCAGAGTCCAGGAGCTGGGGCTGACTGGCAGGAGATGGGCCTATGGCAGGTCTGCTTGAGGAAAGATGGAGCCACAGACAGGATACAGGCACTGCTGGAGCTGCTGCCCAAGGAAGGGAGTGAGACAGAGAATACACTGTCCTTCCATTATCCTCCAGTCTATCTGTCTGTCTGCCTGTCTTTCTCTGTCTGTCTCTCTCTCTCTCTCTCTCTCTCTCTCTCTCACACACACACACATACCCCTGCAATGCAAAGCAGAACAGGCAAGGACAAGGAATAGATCTGAAGGCAAACAGTCAAATGACCAGTAAAAGGCTCACTAAGTATTTGTTGAATTAATAACTCATCTGGCTTAGTCTAGATTAAGGGGCAATTCACAAACTACACCACCATACTTTACAGCTTATCTATAAATACATTTCAGAGAATGGGAACCAATATGAATCCCTTGCCATTCTTCAAGACCCATGGACTGTGAGCCGAGGTCTTGAGATGCATGGCTTGAATCAGTGACATTGGGATGTCCTTCTGACCCCGGCAGCCACGTTCTTGCTTTGCAAACTTTCTCACTTTCGTGCATACTCTTCCTGGCTCCTGTCTGAGTTCAGTCCCTGCCCCAGTCATCTCTGGAATACTGAAGCAGCCTCTTTCCTTACTGGTTGTAGTTGTCTTAATTCCAGAATTTCTTCCCTCTGATCTATCTTATCCTTGGTAGCAGATAAATCATCCCAAAGCTCAGTTCTGAGCTGGTCACTTCCTTGATAAAACATTTTTAATATTTCCTCTTGTCTATGGGATAAAGTCCCACTTCCTAAGTCTAAGCATTCAATCATCACTGATGTAGCCCCAACAGTATTTTCCACGATTCCTGTTTCATATTCTCTGCTCTTCTCAAGCGGAGCTGCTACATTTCTCCTTTCCAGTTGCTCCACCTTGGCTTGTGCTATTCTCTCTAACCAGAGACCCCTCTTCACTCTTTTTGATTTTTAATCACACCTTTGCATGCTTGAAGCTTTGATTTACATCCTATTTTGCATTCCTGATGGGAGAATTGATATTTTTCCCTACCTCTGAATCTCTGCAGCATGTTATCTGTACTTATGACACTTAACCACTTTCTGCTTTGCCCTGGAATTACTGATATGCACGTTATCTCCCTGCAAAGGTTTTAGAGGGTAGAGACCATGGTATTTTTAGCATTATGGTTCCCATAGCATCTAGTATACAGTTTACAGCAGGCACTTCAAAATTTTTGTTGCATAAATGGTCGTGCGTTTATGTGGATGAAGGAATGGATCAACAGACATCCGTACAAATGAATAAATGGGGTGAATAAGACTATCACTTATTCTGAGGTCCCATAGAGTAGGCTACTACAGCCAGCCCGAAAGAGGATGCCGTGTTAGATGGACAGTCACCTTGGGTTATACTAGTTACACATATCATGGAGGATCCAGATTGCTCTGGAAGGGCCACCTTCTGGAGGGGAGTTTGGGGTAAACCACAGATTTTGAGTCTGCAAAAGCTAGCCCCAGACCCTGGCTTCCCAGCCCCATGAAGACACTCACGTCAATGTAGTTGGCATTGATGTAGTCAGAGTGCGGGTCTCCATCCAGTACCAGCAGCCTCACCCGGGAATGGTCGTCTGCAGAGAAAGCAGAAATCAAGGGGATGGTTGATAAGAGGCCTTAGGGTGAGGAGGCAGTTACGTCCTCCTTTAGAGCTACTGTTTATTAGTGACTGCATATCAGGCATCACGCTACTCTCTCATTTAACCCTCAACACCACCCTCAGTTACTATTCCCATTTATAGAAGAGGAAGTGGAGGCTCAGGGAGGTAAGCACTTCTCCTTTTTCTACTTTCCCTTCTGATTTTGTCATTAGCTAACTGGATTAGTCACCTGCTTAAGTCTTAGTGATTTAATCATTAAAACAGGGATGGAAATACCTGCTTCGTAGAACAATGTGAGAGAGACCATATAAAAATGCTCAGGACAGGAGAGTGTTGCATCTGGATTAATATACTCCATTTTCATGTTGGTTAAAAACAGCAAGTTTACCTATCTTCCACACATGCACACATTGCTTTTCTTTTGCCCCTTGGAGTACTGTTGCAAATAGATTGTATTTATCCATATATTGTTATCAATACTATTATTAAAGTGAGGCTGACTAAATCATTATTAAAGAGGCCATCAATAACTAAACTTTGTGTTATAGAGGATACCTTTTCAAACACAACCTAGACATAAACAAGATTTGCAGGCTTTATTTTATAGCATGCTTACTTCAAATAACACCAAATAAAAACCATTAAAAGAAAACTAGTACAGCAGAAGAATCAAGATAATCCTTTACAATTAATTAAGTGAGCTCTGACATGCTAATAGACACACACAGTGAAACAATGGTTGGGTCTGATTGGAAGGAGGGGCCCTGCTTTGCTATCCGGGTCACTGTGCACATATCGTTGTGCAGTCACTGCATTCTAATTCACCTTCCTCTAGGGCAGGAATGGGGTCCCTAGGAACTGGGCTAGGGAGCTCTTGAAATCCCCAAGGGTTTTCTGGGAGTTGAGGAGGAGGAGGTCAGGTTGGCTTACCCTGTTAGAATTATACAGCACTCTGAAGTTTACAAGGCACATTTATTGCAACTAACCAAGACTCCCTTGAGAACTGGGACATTATGTCTTACTTCCTGTTCCATCTTCCGCACCTTCAAAGGGTCCTGACATACAGCAGGTACTCTATAAGTACATGGAAAATGTATAATTGGATGACTTCATTGGGTTCTCAAGTGACCCTGTGGGAAAGAAGTAGGATGGGTTCTGTTAGCCCCTGGTTACAAATGAGGAAACTGAGGCCCCAGAAAGCCTGACTGGCCACATGGCCAGTGAATGGTGAAGCAGAGAAGAGTGAAGTACTCTTAACTCTGGGTTCAGTGGCTCCTGCTTCCAAAGGGGGTGTAAGCACAATGTTAGAAATCACTTCAAATATACCCAGCAGAGGGAATTAACTACAGAGAAGTGGTTGCCTGGGTGACAGAAGAGTTGAGCAGCCAGATAGAAGAGTGGAGAAATTCAGAGATCAGCAGCAACAAGGAGACACTGCCTGCCCTTGGGCTGAAGGGATGGAGGGAGGCAGTGGAGTTAGCAGTGCTCAGGAGCTGGGGCCACCTGCTGGAACCTAAAGCCACCGTGGGATTCTGGTAGGAGCTAGAGACAAGGAGGAGCTTCCCTTGCTGCTAAGGAAGGCAACTGTAGTTGTAATACCCTGGCTTCTCCCTTCTTCCTTCTCTCCAGTCTCCCAGTGCATGTCCTTGGCCAAATCTTGACAGCTGACAAGAGAGCCTGAGAAATGCAACCTACAGGGGTCAGTTACCTGCAATACACAGTAGAGTGGGAGAAGGTAAGGAATGGGTCCTATTGTGGACAAACAGGCCTAGGGCTGGTATAAGATACACCCCATATCTATTCATTAACTTAAGAATCATTCATTGAGTATCTTCCATGTGGCAGGCAGGCAATGTGCTAGACAGTGACTTATACTAAATGCCACTTTTCTTACTCATCAGGGGGAAAAGTTCCAGTAGAAGCAACTAGAGGGAGCAGGTGGGTGGTCTAAGCAATCCCTTTGGGTAGGTGGGAGAGTGGAGTGTGACATGGGGGGAGTTTGAAGTTAAGCTTTATTGGATCCATGGTAGGTACCGGAGACTTTAGACACATTATCTCACTCAATCATTTATGCCTCAAAATAGCCCTATAGGTTATTATAAAGATACCAGAACGATATGGTATTATGAGCCTTCCCGTTTCACAGATGAAGACACTGGGGTTCAGAAAGATTAAGCAAGTTTCTGAAGTTATGCGTCATGTGAGTGGCAGATATAGAATTTCTCTCCTAGGTTTATCTGACCCTGAAACCCTACTATGCCCACATAACTTGCTGCCCGCCAGCCTCAGGTATCTCACAGCCGCTACAGATGGAATCTGTGTAAACAGCTGCTCCGCAGTTCCTGCAGGATTCTAGCTCCAGAGAGGAGGACTTCCTGGGGGACAGCTCATCTAGCAGGCTGGAACTCAGACAAAGCCTGGCACCTGACTCTCAGCCCAGGGCATCAGGCCTCTGTTACTAGCAGTTCCAGGAGCTGTAGGCCTTAAAAAAGTGAAAATGCACATTGTGTTTTCACTCAATGGTCTCATTATGACTTACTGATTCAGAAATCTCCTTTATTTGTTGAGTTATGCCTGCCCCTGGGTCCCACAGCACTGGAAACAGAGATTCTGGTTTAAAATGTTGAAAGGGAATTTTTAAAATAGAAAATGAAATTGAACTACAAGGCTACAGTAATCAAAACAGCATGGTACTGGTACCAAAACAGAGATATAGACCAATGGAACAGAACAGAGGTCTCAGAGGCAACACAACATATCTACAACCACCTGATCTTTGACAAACCGGACAAAAACAAGCAATGGGGAAAAGATTCCCTGTTGAATAAATGGTGTTGGGAAAGCTGGCTAGCCATGTGCAGAAAGCAGAAACTGGACCCCTTCCTGACACCTTACACTAAAATTAACTCCAGATGGATTAAAGACTTAAACATAAGACCTAACACCATAAAAACCCTAGAAGAAAATCTAGGCAAAACCATTCAGGACGTAGGTGTAGGCAAGGACTTCATGACCAAAACACCAAAAGCATTGACAACAAAAGCCAAAATAGACAAATGGGACCTAATCAAACTCCACAGCTTCTGCACAGTAAAAGAAACAATCATTAGAGTGAATCAGCAACCAACAGATTGGGAAAAAGTTTTTGCAGTTTACCCATCTGACAAAGGGCTGATATCCAGAATTTACAAAGAACTAAAACAGATTTACAAGAAGAAAACTAACAAGCCCATTCAAAAGTGGGCAAAGGATATGAACAGACACTTTACAAAAGAAGACATACGTGAGGCCAACAAACATATGAAAAAATGCTCATCATCACTGGTCATCAGAGAAATGCAAATCAAAACTACATTGAGATACCATCTCACGCCAGTTAGAATGGCGATCATTAAAAAATCTGGAGACAACAGATGCTGGAGAGGATGTGGAGAAATAGGAACACTTTTACACTGTTGGTGGGAGTGTAAATTAGTTCAACCATTGTGAAAGACAGTGTGGCGATTCCTCAAGGACATAGAAATAGATATTCCATTTGACCCAGCAATCCCATTACTGGGTATATATCCAAAGGATTACAAATCGTTCTACTATAAGGACACGTGCACACGAATGTTCATTACAGCACTGTTTACAATAGCAAAGACCTGGAACCAACCCAAATGCCCATCGACGATAGACTGGATAGGGAAAATGTGGCACATATACACCATGGAATATTATGCAGCCATCAAAAACGATGAGTTTGGGTCCTTTGTAGGGACGTGGATGAACCTGGAAACCATCATTCTCAGCAAACTGACAGAAGAGCAGAAGATCAAACACCGCATGTTCTCACTCATAGGCGGGTGTTGAACATTGAGAACACATGGACACAGGGAGGGGAGCACGACACACTGGGGTCAGTTGGGGGGAAATAGGGGAGGGATGGTGGGGGGTGGGAAGCTGGGGAGAGATAGCAAGGGGAGAAATGCCAGATGTAGGTGACGGGAAGGAAGGCAGCAAATCACACTGCCACGTGTGTTCCTATGCAACAATTTTGCATGTTCTTCACATGTACCCCAAAACCTAAAATGCAATAAAATAAATAAATGGGGGAAAAAAAAAAGAAAATGAAATTGAAAAACCGAAAAGTAAAAATGATTAAAAACAAAAACAAACTTATTTATTCTAGTTAAGCATTCTTACAGACGAAGGGAACCTCTAGCCACCAGAGGATGGTGTTTGACAACATCTCTCCTTCACTTATTAAGAATGTGTTTACTGCACACCTACTATGTGCCAGGCTAGTTGAAGGGATTAAGAAAGTGCTATTAAATGTGATATTCATGTTTAAGGAATTTGTCAATTTAGTGGAGACAGACCGTATGCAGAAGCAAAACTTCCAAATCCAGAAGATGGGGACTAGAGGGCTTTGTGTAGTGTCATGTGAATGAGGAGTTAAAAATGAGTCAGGTTTGACTAGTGCACAATGAGGAAGTCTTTCCATCAGAGGGAATGGCTGGGGTGAAGGCAGATACCCTGAAAAAAGCAAACACAGTGGGAGAGCTGCAAGGGTCTCTTGTCCTGGGAAAGCAGAGTGTGAGGGGAGCAATGGGGGAGAGATGGGGGGGTAGGGAGGGTTAGATTTCATAGGGCTTTTCATGCCCTATGAAGCCACCAAGACTCAAGGAATCATGCTGGGCTCTGCAGAGCAGCCTAATACAGTGCTTCTTTTCTGGAACAGTGGAAGCGTGTTTTATTATGATGTAACCAAAATTAATGCCCACACAGCTAATTTATGTCAAATCAGACAAACTTTTTTTTTTGAGACGGAGTCTCACTGTCGCCAGGCTGGACTGCAGTGGTGTGATCTCGGCTCACCACAACCTACGCCTCCTGGGTTCAAGTGATTCTCCTGCCTCAGCCTCCCAAGTAGCTGGGACTACAGGTACGCACCACCACTCCCGGCTAACTTTTGTATTTTTAGTAGA